TAAATATTTAAAGCATTTTTAATTTATTGAAATTTATTTTTAATTGTAGAGAAGGAAAGAGAGGAGTTATAAAGTTGGTTATCTGAATATTATTTGTTATATATAGTAATTAGTGAATAAAAGTTTTCATGATTGAAGTGATTTTTGAGGAACTGAATTTGTTTAAAGCAGTAATATAGAGGAAAGAATTTAGTATTTGAGTACTCTTTAATTTTATGAATAGTTTTAATTTTTTTGAAAGGAATATATTTAATACCCATAAATATTCTTTAAATTTACCTTCTTAACGTGAATAACATGAGATTACTTAGATTAGTAATTTCTATAATAGTATTTTAAGTACGTACTACTTTATTTATAAGTTAAGACACATCTAAAAGAAAATTGAACAAAGCCTAAACATCCTCTAATTATTTAAAATGTATAAAAACACAAACTGTATCATTTAATAAAAAGAAGAGTTCTCATCTCTTATCACAAAGTAGTATAAAGAGTAATTTTTCCTTTCCTTTATATCACTGATACGTCCTATCGAATGTGTGATGTTACAGCTGGTATTGCTCTGAATTGGCTATATTTCATCTATCATACAATTAACCAGACTCATATTCACGATGCTTTATATTGTTTAAAGTATAAAATCGGTACAATAATTACACGTATTATATTAAATTAAGCCAACAAACATCACACAACAAGAATTAAAATTTAGAAATTACAATTTATTATATGCAAAAAGTGAGAGATCATATTTGATACATTTAACGCTAGTAATTTCGATATGAAATAAGAAAATTTTATAATAAAATGTATTTAATATAAGAAAACCTCGATATAATATTTTACTAAACCCAATGATTTTCTTATACCGAGAATAAATTTTCCCAAAGTTGACGTGAAGGATTATTCAAAACAATAAATGATAAATTCATCTCTTATGAAAGCAACAGTAAAATAATAAATTCATATCTTATAAAACAATAATAAAATCATAAAATAAATCTGTGAATTATTACGAAATATAGTAACATTAATTAAAATTTAACTATCGGAAGAATCTTTCACGTCATCAGTAATAAACCATCCAATAATGGGAGAAACAATTGATTCATTATTAGAATTTTCAAGAATCTCTTGATTAGCACCGACGAACCCAGCTATAAACTTCAAAGATATATTGCCATCAATAATAAAAGGAACTTCAATCATGCCATCTGGAATATTAGAAATTCTTGTCCGTTCATTGGAAAAAGGTTTTCCTAAACGACTATAAGGAAAAAAAGCTAACATCCACCCTGAGATATAGGTACCTCCTCCTGAACCAAATACTTCGTCTATACGCATAATTCTGCCCCAAAAATCTTCATCAATTTCTCCACGATAAGTTGCTACTAAATTCCAAATCACAGGTTCAAGGCGATCTAACCAAAAATCAAGCTCTAAATCTAACTTTCTTAATCGAATAACTTTTTCTTGAAGTTTATTCCAATCTTCAAGCGTTCCCTCAAGTGTAACTTTTGGAATTCCACAAAGTGTGCTAAATTCATAACTAAAATATGCTTTAACCATATCTAATAATACAATACGACTTGCTGTTAAACTGGTCGAAGTTGTTGTTGAAAAATCACATTCTAATAATTCTTTGAGTTCAATTTTTTCTACATTCTCATCAACTTTCATAACAAGTCTATCAACAGCTTCTTGCCAATCACCTTCAAGAGTATTTCCAGATATGATATCACCAACAAAAATACAAATATTTTTTTTCCCTTCATGTTTAACAAATTTATGACGAAATTTTTCAGCGTTATAATTAATATGACTACTAACACCTTGAGCAATAGTAAGCCAAATATCATCAGGGCTTAAACGTAAATGTTTGTGATAATTATAAGCATGGAGAATGGCAGTAGCAAAGCCATTAGTACAATAAATATTCTCGAGAACGGTCGGTTTAGAGTTTGCTGCAACATCGAAAGAAATTGCGTATACTTTTGGATTATTAAAAATTCTAGAAATTTGTTCATCAATTGAAATATGAGGTTCTGACTTATTATCAGGTTCTATTTTCTTGGTTAGGATTTGAGTACTATGAGGATTCATTTTTGTAAAACTGAAAAAATATACGTAAATTGTGGTATTTATAAACCTGTTTTACAATTTTTATGTAAGAATGCTGATAATTTGTATGTCAGCTGATCCGGAATATTCAAATTTTGGTTGGCTATTTCCGGAATCTGTATAGCGATATTATTATATTCCACATAGCATATTACAACGTGCTATCTCAGACAAATTATATAAAAAATCAAAGTAAGTCATCCCTTGGTGACACTAATATTATTCTCACTGCTTCAGTAATAATATACATTTAATCATTTTAAAGTTGAAGAATTCCAAAAGATAATATATTATTACATTATATTTATTATTTTACATAATATAATTATTAAAAACTTGGTTTACATTCATTAATTTATATTTAGGGTAATGTGATATTGTTCTTGATAAAAATAATATTTGCAATGAAAACTTTATATCGAAAAATTTCGTTATAAAAAAAAAGTTTGGAATGCACAATTAACTGTTGAATTATCGATAATTTTTGCCAATGATTAACGTATTCGTCCAAAATTACATGAGTTCTTAATAACGAAAACAACGTTCATAACGAAAAGGTAGAATAATTATAACGAAAATTGGTGTAAAAAAAAAAATACAGTATTGTATAATAAATATAATATTGTGTAATACTGTAGGGAAATGTTCAATTATGTATTCATATATTTTTAGATAGATTTGTTGTTAAATAGAATAAGGGTAAGTATTGGTTATTTAAATCTGACGCAGATAAATTATCAATATTATTTGGTATTTATTCTTCGTGAATAAAATAAATGAAAAATGAAAATGTTAAGAGGGAAATTGATTAAAGAACGAATTTGAGATACTGTATTTCAATAGTTAAGCATTGAATCATCGTTAGAAAAGGTATTGAATAATTCAGTATTTTGAGAAAAATCTTCATGAACGAAATGGGAAAGAGAAGGAAATGTCGAAGATTTGAGTTACTTGAGTCACCAGTATCAAATGAATTGAAGAATGACGCGTCATTTTGCGGCAGATCAATAGTTAGATGAATTAATTCTTCACGAACGAAATAGGAATGAGTAAAAAAAAGTGCGTTCGGAAGATATGTTTTGTTTAAAAAACGTTTTTGAAATTATCAATAAAATCTGGATACAATACTTATATTACTTAAAAAAAATCACTTTAAAGAAAGTTAGCTGCAATTTTCCGCGTCAGTCAAATTATTGTATAAAAATTCGGAATCCAAGAAATCATTTCGTTTATACATAGCCAAATCTTTAGTTTATCGACCATAAGCTGACTCATGATCCCAAAATTAGCAATTCACATAAGAACAGGGAAATTTTAATATAAAAATAGGAATAGATATTTATTTATTTTTAATACGTAGTAATATGGAATCTAATTTTCAAAATTCATATATATTTTTTAAGGGTCCGTATTATTTCACCGACAATAATTTCACCGAAAATATAAAACTGGCTAAACCCTAACCCTAAATCGGGCTAA